ATATCAGCTCCATACTGTGTTTTAATCTGCAGCCAGCAGCTGCTTATCCGGTTCTATCTGTTGGAGATGATCTCATTAAAGCTGCATCATAAGCTTGGTGATTAATCTGTAATTTATCTTCATTTAATGATCATGACAACCGCTCCTCCCTGCAGTTATCAGCTTATAATCTGCTTCTTCCACATCATCCTGTAACCTTTAGATGATAGAGGATGTGTAATCTGGTTCCTCGGCATTGGAACAGCTGCTAAACGTCTGGTTCTCTGGAAAAAAAGTGGAAAATCTTCTGATTTTGCTCTGATGTTCATATTATTTATCTTTATGTTTTAGATGCTGACGGTGTCGTCCATCGAGCCCTGTGCTCTGAGCGGCTTTGATCCCTGCTGGGACAGGAGGCCCCCTGCTGGTCGCGGCGTCCCGATCAGACCGCGGCCCCGCTCGCCACTGAAAGGTACGCCGATGATGATGCGCTAAATACCAGAGGACTAACCCAGACTGAGCTTTTCATGATTTAATGGATCAGATGCAACATTCGGTTTGGTTATCCTGGTGTCGTTATTAAATATATCTATATATATATATATAAATCTCTGTTAGAATCGCTTTTATGTCCACTTCCTTTAACCCTTTAAGCCCAGAGGGTCTTGGGAGCAAATTCCCCCTGAAATTCCATCTGTGAATTAAAGCAAGTTTATCTCCAAAAACTATAAATTGGAAACACAATAGTTTGTATTCGTGTGACAGAAAAGCTTGAGGAATATTTTTCAGGTGGAATCACTATTTTAAATGTCACCATGTCTGATTTATTGGTGATTAAAGAAAGAAAAAATTAAAAAATATTTAGCCTCGCCAAATTTTTTTTCAAAATAAAAGCTCCAAAATAGCATAAAGCTCATTAGAAGCTCTGGATGAACCTCAGACCTTATAGATCTACATCTACACTAGAACTCATGCTAATCTGGACTGAAGAAGTTGAAGCATGTTTGTTCCACAAAGGTTTCAGTGGGCAGTGAAGTTGCCAACTTCCTGAAGAAAAAAAAAAGGGACACCTTGTGTGACCCAATTTACCCAATTTTTTTAAGCCCCTCTTTGTGTGAAATATTTTTTATTAAATATTTTACTCAAATCTGCATTGAATTAGATTCATATTTGCAGTTTGCTTTATATCCATCATCTCTGGCTCTTTCCACCCAGGTATTTGTTTTTTCCCATTCCTCCCAATATCTCTGCATCCTTTTTTATGGAGGAGGAGCTTCGCTATGCGAAGATGCACCGCCCCCAAAAGCAGCGTCACCATTTAAATTACTCCGTTTATCCACTTTGATGCTTTGTTGTGTCGCTATCTTTTCCGTTAGCGACACTCGGCTCGACCAATGGGATGAGGGGATTCTGGATCGTTACATATATGCTGCTATAGGCTTAGACTGCTGGAGGACATAGGGACCCCTTTTTCATCATTCTGCTTC